CTTCTAAACCCTTGACCATTTATTGCAAAAGCACGGTTTGTCCGCTTTCCCAGATGCCACATGGACCTGACACACTGGCAAGCTGGGGCTCCCTGCCTACCCAGCCCACCTGCTCCACGTCATCTCTGCCCCAAGATTCTGTTTCCACGCCTCACTTAGATATTTCCTGGTCACGTATCTTCTGCTTCCCCTCCACGCCCCCCCCACCCCTCTGCCAGTCCTTAATTTAGCCTTCTTCAACTGCGTGTTGAAAATGCGCAGGGGTGTATTTTTCTTTTATGTCACTGTTTCTTCCAGCCACCACTGCACTCTTTAGCATTTGCAACGGTAGGGGGAAGGTAGGGCCAAGTGCAAAGAAGGGAGGAGGTGGGAGAGGGAGAGAATGAAGGTCACCCTGGGAAGTAAGCACGAAAGAGCAAACCAAGTCAACAAAGACCCAGGCCTAATTCTAGCCAGAAAGCCTTTGGACCATGTTGATTACATAAATGGAGGCTTTTTCTTTTTCTCAAATCCTCAGTATTTCTCCCAGATGGGCAGAGGTGAGGGCGGGGAAAGATGGGAAGGGCCACGAGAGCTCTTCCGTGGGAACCTGGTGGTGGTCTAGACTGTGCACTGGAGTCTCTGGCTGTAGCAAACTTAAGGACAGTTAAGATACATCTTGCTTGGCTGCTGCTGCCTCTCCTACCGCTCTTGGATCAATACCAGTGGCTTTCTTCAGACCAGAACACACACGCACACGCACACACACACATGCACGCACACACACACCTGCTCTCGTTATCAATATTAATAATGGTAACACAACAATAGAGATGAAGAAAGGGAAGCTAAAATGAACTGAGTGGAAATATAGGCTGGGGGTTCTCGGAGTTGTCTGCTGAGGGAATACGAAGGCTCCAGGGCCTCACAGGCTCTATTTCCTGCAATGTCCCTTCCCAGGCCCAGGTTTGTAGATTTGCCAGACCCAGTTGGTGCCAACCTGAATGGCCATCTTATTCGCTTCCAGGCTAGAGGTCATTATTAGTAATTGTATCTCTATGGAAGAGGCTTCTGGCTGCCTGCCAGCCTAATGCCGCCTTCCTTTGCCCTGCCCTGGGAAATACCACCATCAGCACAAATGTTCCTGTTCATGGGGAGGCCAAATCTGGGGAAGCTATGGAGTGTTCCTTGTTTAAGGCTGCTGGCCCCTCCACCTGAGGCTCCAACAGTGCATCCTTGCACCCCCTGGCTCTATGACAGCCCTCACAGCTTCACAGACCCTGAGGATCACTTTCAGTCAGGAGGGCATAGCCGGGGCTCACTCAGAACCCAGAGGAACCTAAGACACCTCACTCTGGACTTCCGGTTTTTCTCCTCACAGGGGAGAGTTTCCGTCTCTTCTGAGAGATGGGTTTGATGTAGAAATGGCAAAACAGGAAGGAGCCTCCCTCCCTGACTTCAGGGCTTCCTGAAGTTGCTTTCTTGAGGTCTCTCTCTCACAGGCCAACAGCTGAACCTCCCCAGGAGCAACTGTTGTGATGCTGGGAGAGCCCACGCCTCTCATCTTCCCACATCCTCCTCTCTCCCTTCCCTCTGACCCACTGCAGACTTCCCAGTCTCCCTACCCCACCGTCCCTCCCAAAACCAGAGGGTCTCCAGCCTCATTAGAAAGATGTTTCCAGCTCTCCAAGACCCATCCATCCTTCTGTTCCCACACCCAAGCCGGACAACTGTGACCTCGGAAAGGATCGAAAAGACCCCAAGTCCTGAGAATGCTGGGGAAAGGAAGTCAACTCACAGACAGTCCCCAAGGCCCTTCTGACGACTAATAAATTAGATTCGGTGCAGTTGGGGTTGCAGTGGGGAGACTTGTGGGACAAATAAAAACTATGAGACCCTCCCCTTCCTCAGCTGTGACAGGTAAAGCTGAGCTCTTGGAACAGGGAGCCTTGTCTGCGCTGCCAGGTGGTGGGGAAAAGGCTGACCAGGCCCCGCTGCCTCTCTTTCCAGCTGCTAGAGTCAGGGTCCACGGGTCTAAGCACTACAGCAGCAATGGCCGAAACTGCTCCATGCCCAAGGCTGCAGTCCAGGATCAAGCTCACTCTGCTGCCATCTGTCCTTTGCCGCTAGCCAGTCTGAACCACAGGGGCCTCGGTAACGTATGTCCAGATTTTACAAGGACACTCGTCTGTGGGAGTGGGAAAATCCGTGCGGACTCAGGTCAGAGCCTGGGGGGCGCGGGGGGGGGGGGTCTTTCTACTTCCACTGGGTGAGGGGCGCCAGTCTCATTCTCCCTCAGATAGCCCTCTTTACCAACATCGATTCAGATAGTGTTGCTTTCCAGGACCACAGGGCTGAGGGAAAAGCCTGTTAAGG